TAATAAAAACCAAATGTTAGCTCAGGCCTTCCAGTAAATCATAATAGATTAGATGCTGTACCGAAATGAATATCCCATAGTGGAAAGGGTTGACCGGTGGAGGAAGGCTCTCGTTGTGATTCAATTGGGCCACATAATGAATTCTGGTTCATATCTGTAATAGAAAATACAGCCTTTTCTCTTTTGTCAGGTCTGCAGAGCCCTGGCCTAAGGGGAGGGGGTGAGATTTGCAGCTTTTGTATTCTTAAAGGTTCCCCCCCTCTCCCCTCCACCCTTCTGCTCCTTCCCTTCCATTTATTATTGTTTACCAAAGAGGAATTGGGCTCATTTTGTTTTACTGAGAAGTTACTGGAACATAGATGAGAGGTATGGGAAAGGTTGATAGGTAATAGGATAAAGAAAGGCTTTTGCCATGCAGAGAGCTGGCAAAACAACATTTTGAATCTTGACTGACACATAATCAGAACTGGAAGTACATTGGAAATCAGCCCAACATCTGGTTAGCTTTCGAAAGAGTTGGTCTGTAGTCTTCCAAAGTTGTCAATGCTTGCGTGACTACAGCCAAGGAGACCTTGTGTGGTCAAAAGAAAAAAATTATTTTGACCATTATTTACCTAGCATTATTGTGGTCTCTTTATCCAGGTTTGATTGTCTACTTCTTGTGTAACATTGGTCTGGGTCTTTTTCACCCTTTCCTGGGGACTGCTGCTAAGGAAGAAGAATCCAGAAATCAGAATTTAGAGGGGGAAGCTTAGTAACTGGTCATTGACATCTCGGAACCACACCCTCCCATTCCTTTTAGATTCTTTGTATTAGTTATCTGGGAGTCCCACCCCTACCACTCCCCCAACCCTGGGGTTGTTGGGTGGAAGCAATGAAAAGGAGAGACCTGTTCTGACTCATTCAGGCATAGCAGGATCTGCCCCTGGCCAGAAGGGAGCAAGGAAGCATGTGGTCTGCTGGAAGTCTGAACTTGCTAGTGTGTCCTCCCAGGCCATGTAAAGTGTGTCTGGGTTTCTTTGGAATTTGTCAGCCCCCTAAGGGTTGAAGCAAGTAGGACAGTATATTCTCCAGTGTTTATTTCAGTCAGACGGAAATGGCTAGCCAGCAAGGAAACTCAATCAAGTTTGCAACAAAGCCTGCCTTTCAGTGACTGAACTCTGAGTGTATGCACATGTGCATGTCTGCCCATACACACGTATACCATTTTCCCTTTCATATTTATATCCTTGTCATATGTGACATTGACCTTGTTCATTCACCACTCTCAGCTGCCATTTTGTTCGGACCCAGAAGACTGGAGCTTTTTAATTGCTGCACAGGCTTTGAAAGCCAATTGCTAGCGTGGGATGATTCAAAATAACAGGAGTTTTAGAGGCCATGGTGGAAAAAGAGCGAGACAGGGAGAGGAAATGAGGCACCTGGTCCAGAAGGAACTTTGGGGAAAGAATGGAGATGTTCAAGGGTGTTTTTAGATAAAGTTTTGACATACGTTGTATGAAATTGATCTTGCTCTCTCCCCTCGGCTAGTGATAAAATCCACCTCACACAGAATGTGTTACAATACCGAGTCTTTTTGGAGGAAAGTGCTGGAAGGGTGGAGATCACCTTGACAGGCTGGGGGAATGGAAACCCGTCAAAATCAGCCAGGGCACAACCAGATCATTCCACCTCCCCTAGCTGCCCTCCAGGGATCTTGATATTCAAGCCTTGCTTGTCCCTCCCCACCCGACCACCCCCAATATCTACCTCATCACTTCCTCCCCAAGCTCCTCCTCACCCTGCCCTCCCTAAGCTCTACCACAGTCCTTCAGTCCCCACCCCCCGCAGACCTGGCAAGTTGCGGCCCCCATCCCTATGCAGCTCAAGACAAATGCTCACTTATTCTTCAGAGTCCAACCTGAGCAGCCCATCCCCTGAGCAGGCCCTCGAAAAGCACAGCCCACCTTCTTTGGGCCTTCTAAAATAGCTTGATTTTAGCTTTTGCTAGCTTGTTCTCATTTTTGTTCTTTTGTTCTTTCATTGTATCTTTCCTCTTGTAATACACATGATACAGAAATACATTAAGCCATGCTCAAAGTAAAAATTCCCGTCGGTGCATATTAATGACGGGCTATAGTTATTGAACCACGATTACACAGTTCTCGCGGGATGCTGACAACAACCCTGGGATAGAGTTACTATAATTATCCCATTGCACAGGTAAGGAGACTGAAGGTTGAAGAGTTTAAATATCAAAATTCCGTCTGCACTCTGCACTCAGCTCTCTCTACCTCCATCTGACCACACTGTGGAAGATACCCTGGGGAAAACTAAGCCCAGGAGCACCCCAAGGCCTTGGAGGTGGTGGCTGTTGTCAGCACAGAGGGAAGGCCCCTTGCACACTGCTTGCTGTGGTTGGCCCACTGAGCAGGTAGTTCCACCCCCTTCCCATCTGGATCCTGTCCACCTTTGTAATCTCATTCTAGTTCTCACTGTGCCCCTCACTTGCTCTGTGACCTTAGGGATGTGACATAACATCTCTGATCCTTAATTCCTCACTAAAGGAATCTGGCCCTGTGAAGTTCTTAAAGTTTTTTAGTCCCCCAGGGTCTCATATCCCCCTTAATAGAGAGCAGAGCTGCCAGTTGAGGAAGGCCAGGATAACCTTGAAGTGTTCCTCGTCCTATTGAGAGAAGATTTTTGCCACAGATTTCATCATTTTTAACAAGTTCTAAAAGAATAGGGGCAATAACAGGAAAGAGTCAAAATGGAGCTCACCAGAGAAATTCAAGCCCCGACTGAGTCTGTGTCTCTCCCTGGTTTTGCCGGCCACCGCCACGATCTCAAGGGAGCCAGCAGCTGGGCTTCTTTGAAGTGGGGTGATAGATGGTTGGTTCATAAAGTTGGGTGATGCTCTGGGCAAGCTGAAGAGCCATTTTTTTTTTCCCAGAACCACTGACTGACAGTTCCCAAAAGGGCAAGAAATGAAAAGACGGCGTTGACATCTCTGGAGAAAAACATATGCCAAAAAGATTTAGTTGATGTTCTTGCCATTTAATAAACCAGAATGCTTCAGAGTTAGACATTTCACATCAAAATGGGATATAGAATCCACAAATTAAATTTTCATTGCAATCAGATTTTTTGACGGAAGCCATAGTGGTGGGGCGTGAGAGAGAGAACTACCCAACTCAAGCCCTTCAGCCGTCCCTCACCCATGTCATCTCCTTGGCATGACTTAGCCTCTGGTTCAGAGCTGGAAGGAATTCAATAAAACAAGATATATTGTTATGGTTTCTTACGTCAATGTGTGTGGGGGGGAGTTACTTAGAATCCAGACAATCAGCTCTTCAATGCTATCCTCCACTATTTTGTCAAGGTTCTAAATGAAGCGTCATCTAGTACTCAAGGGGCCGTATTTCAAGAGTTCCCAGAAGTGCCACCTTCCCCCCTTTTGTAGAATAACAGGAAAAGACGTGCTCTGAGCACAAACAATCTGTTCAGCTCTCCAAGCTTGGATCAGGAGAAGTGTTTGTTTCTGCAAGTGTATTTTTCCAGAGCTTTGTTAGATGAGAGGATAAGGATTTGGAATGCCTCTTGTCCCACACCTGGCCTGTTGAAGTAGCCCTAACAGGTCTTTTTGTCACCCTGGTTTTCAGGTTCTGCTTTAGCAATGACGTCACTCCATTCACAGTTAGAGTTTGAATACTCCCCCATGCCCCCCTCCTCTCTCCATCTTGTCTTGGTTTTTTCAAAGCTATTAGTATGCAGTGAAGGAAACGTGATTACTTTGACTCTTTTCTTTTTAACAAATCCATTTTATTTAGTTACTTTTCAATAAGTTTAAATCTCTGAGGGGTACAGCATTACGTGGATTCTACGTCCAATGGCCTTAGCAGGACGGTTGCTTTGGAACTTTGCACGAACCATGCCACCATTTCTGTGGGCACGAATTACCTTTCCCCGGATGGCTCTGGTGTTGTTCGGTTTGCCACCAGGAGTCTACTGTGTTGTTCTTTGCTTTGTACATGTAAGCACATCTCTTACCTAGACAGAATTCCGTTTCATCCTGAGCATGAACACTTTCAATTTTAAGAAGAGCCATGTGCCCCCTCAGGTTCCGGAGACCCCACTTATAGCTGGCAAAAATGGCCTTGGACCACAGCCTTTCAGATGTATTTGTCATTATAGAAGTCCTGCTCCCAGCAGGCCTCCACAGGCTCCAGGATGGCAGAAAAAACGGTTCCTTTGCCTCTTAAAGATAGAGCTTCTCCATGGACTTCATGCTATTTATACCTTTCTGTCGTAAGGTTTAGCCTAGTCCCTCTGCAATGCCACCCTCTGGCCCAGGGGAGCACCTGCTGCTGCCCGAGAGTGTGTCGAGCGATGGGCCCAGCTCTTTGAGTTTGGTGTTCAGAGCTTGAGGTGTGATTGTTGGGTATGACCGTTGTTTCCTTTCCCGTTGGCCTCTGTTTCTCTAGGTCTGTGTTCCCCCTCATTGAGGCTCGTGTCTCATATGGGGTGGCCCCAGGGGCCACTCAGACCCAGCACAAAATGGCAGTGAAGCACACTGTGAAAGTTACTCCTTTTTCTATTCCATTTCTCTTCTCTCTGATTTTGTCCAGAAGTGTGTCACCATTTGGGGCTAGCGTGTCTTCATCACTTTTTAAACACTTTCCATGCACCGTTTAACATGGACAAAGTAGGCCTCAGGCCATGAGTAGCCAGTCAGCAGTCTTTGGCTAAAATGTAAAATCATTTTTTTTTATTACAGTTACTGTCAGTATTGCAGCAATGCTGATGTCCTATTTATATATAGTGATAGAAAATATATGTGTTAATATATTTACAGAAAACTCTAAGTTATATAGACAGTAGCCAGTCATGGCAGAAATCACAAGGATATACCGTGGGTGACCGACGTTGGGGAAGCTCTGCTCTAAGCAGCCTTTCACGATGTGGAGGGCTCTCGATAATATGGCTCTGCTGACTTACCGCTTGTCCCTTTCCTGCTGCAGGCATGGATCCTGAAAAACTAGAGCGAATCCAGCTCCCAGTGCCCAGTGTGGCTGAGAAGAGCATTTACAACCACCTACTGGCTGAAAGACTCATCAGGATCATGAACAACGCTGCCCAGCCAGGTATCTGTGGTGTATTGGCTGTTCACAGGGGCGGTGGAGTTAAAGGGACCAGGCCCCTACACCTGGCACCAGGAGCCCTGGGCTCTAGATCTGGCTCTTCTGGTGATCAAGGCAGATCTTAGCCACTCCCTCTGCCACACACACACATACCTGGGCCACCCGCGCCCTCCTATCCTGCCATGTCTTCGTCTCTGGGTCTTCTCTCTTTCTCTTCCCACTGTGGTGTTTGTGCCAGAACCTGTCTTTTTCTCCTCTCATACCCAGCCCTTCTTTTGCCAGTTTTGCCAGTGTCTGTATCTTGGGGTAGCCCAGGGTCACATTTGAGCTTGAACTAGGCTGGAGTGTGCGTGAGGGGGAAGGTTGGAAGGTTTGGGTCGGGTGCTTTTGATAATACAAGACACGCCCAGTGCCTGACCTTGTCAGCCTAGTTCTGAGGTTTTAGCCAACACCGATCTACTGCCACAGCAAGGACTAGAAATAGGGAGAATGATCTAGCACAGTGATTCTCAGCTGGGGACAACCTTGCATCCCCAGGGACATTTGGTTGTCACAGTTTGGGGAGGTGGTGCAACTGGTGTGTAGTGGGTAGAGGCCAGAGACTCTGCTAAACATCCCACAATGCACAAGGCGGCACCACAACAAAGGATTATCTGACCCAAGATGTCAACATTGCCAAGGTTGGGAAACCCTGATTACAAGGCAGGTTCTCTGCAAAGTCAGGGAGAGAGGCCATCAGGTTGGAATGAGTGTATGGGCAGGGGCCCGACTGAGATGTGGCCCAATTGAGGGAACCGCTAAGCTAAACCATCAGGAGCAATATGGGGAATGGGCCCAGGGCAGGCTCAGGATAAGGGCAGCAGCAGGGGTTGTGATGGCAGAGAGGGTCTTTAGAAATAAAGGGGAGTGGCTCCAAGATGTGGCCAGAAGCACAGGGGATTGCCAGGGAGTGAGTGCAAGGTCTTGGAGAACCAAGTTCCTAGCCTCAAAGGTGTCAGCAGGGGATCAGTAAACTCACTAAATGTTTATTGAACTACTCCTGCATGTCAGCCACTGTGTGTGGGTGATAGGGGTACTGAAGTGCAGGACAGGCATGGTTCCTGTCCTTCAGGAGCCACAGCTGTGGGTCTCTGAAGTCCTAGCCGTCTGGGACTCCTTGCGGGGATGTAATCTGGAGCTCAGAGGGGCGTCAGGGCCAGAACTAATGCTCTGGGGCTCACAGACATGTGAATCGTTTTTAAAGCCAACAGGAGAGAGGAGAGGCATGTGTAAGTAAGACCAAGCCGTGGGCCACCACAGATATCTGGAGGTGACAGAGGGGAAGCTAGCACAGGAGCCTGAGCCAGGCCCCACGTGGGAAGAAGAGGAACAGGAGGGGGGTGTCTTGGGTGGCAAGAAAGATGCACGTGGCTCAAGACCAAGGGTGCTCAGCAGGGTCATTTTGTGCTGAGAAGTCCAGTCAGCAAGGCAGAGCCTGTCCCTGTGGATGGTGGCCAAGGGGGCAGTTGGCAGGAGCTGTGTGAACAGACGTGGCTTTGTGGTGGAGGAAGGCAGACTGTGGTCTGGATGTGAGGAGAGGAACCCCAGGGTGGGGAGGGACAGCGGGTGGGCTCCTTGACTGCTGGTGTATAGAACTGCCTGGATTTCTGAAGAGAAGAGGTTGGGGCAGCTCAGAGGGACAGTCTGGAAGCTGTGATGAGGACTAAGGAGCTTGCTGCTCCCCCAGTTTCCCTCATAAGACAAGTCCAGTTGGAGGCAGTCAGCTCCTTGGCAGGAGCTGGCAAAAGGAAAAGGGTCTTGGTGGAAAATCACATTCCATTTCCCTGGAGACGGCAGAAGGGGTGTTTCTGACCGGGCCAACAGTGTGGCTTGGGGGAGGGGCAGGCAGGAGTGAGGCTGGGCTCTGGAGAAACTGCTGAACTCAGAGGAAGGCAGGTGGTGGGTGCTGCTGGGGCAGGGCAGCGGCACAGAAGTGGGGTTAGTGCTGGGCTGCCAGGTTGGGCTGCGTCAGGGTGAAGAACTGAACTGAGACTAACCAGCCTTTTTTCACACGGCCCCTGGGCTTGTATCATGCTTAGGAAATCCTGGTTCTGCTTGCATGTAGCCTATTCATTTTATGGCAAATGATTGCCTCATTTCCTGTTTCCCCCATGACACATGAGGCCTTAAAGGACGGGCAGGGAGGTATGCGGTGGTACATCTACCACTGAGTTTTTCCCAGTGGCCCATCTTGGTCCCTGCTGTTTCTAAGGCATCAGGGATGTGGCCTGGAAACTTTGTCCTCTCCTGGTCCCTCTTCCACATTGAGACATCTCCGCAGAAATGAGGTTAAAAACCCAGGGAGGAGTTTGCCCTTCAGACAGTCACAGATGCTTCAAAGAACAATGCCAGCTGTGGTTTTGACATTCACTGCCCAGGGTAAGTCTTTGGGCAAGTCACTTCACTCTTCTAAGCCTCAGTCCTTAGCACCCATTGCAGTTGATTATTTTATAGAGACCACTGAGGGAACATCTGCAGAGTAGCTAGCCCATGCCTGACTCCCAAGAGGATAGCAAATTGTTTCACTCAGAACTTGGTTACAATTGACAGAAACCCAACTCAGACTGGCTGAAACAATACAAACAGAAACAAACAAAACCATTGGCTTGTGTACCTTAGTGTTGGGCACTGTCTTCAGGCACAGCTGGATCCAGGGGCTCAAACAGTGTTTTAAGACTGTCTTTGGACTCTGCAGCCAGCAGCTTCAGCCATCCCTCTCTCCATTGAGGCCTTAGACTTGCTCTAGGAGAGACACTTTGGGTAATCTGGTGGGAAGGAAGGCATGGGGCTCAATTTGCAGAACATTTTACAAAAGATTGAAAACACTGGTGAGAATGGGGATATGGCCACTGTGGATTATGCTGTTTGTGCCACTCAGGGTCCCTTCACTGTTCCTGTACTCTCTGCAGCCCAGTGGTTCCAACAGGTTGTGGAACCGAGCCTTTTTAGCTCAGACTGGCTCCCTTGCCTATCCTCTACCCAACCACTGTGACCAGCCTGGGTGGTATGCCCATCCCTAGGATCACATGTCCAATAGTGGAGCCGGTGGTTCTCCAAAGAAAATGGGGATGCTCGTTCCTGAGGAAGAGGAAGGAATGCTGGACAAGCAAAGCAACTACAGGTGGCCACTTTCTAGACCTTCAGTAATAATTAAGTGCCCTTCTTTTTCCTACATCCCCTCCCCTGATGAGACTAAAGAGGAGTGGAAGGTCTAGGCAGCTTTGATGGGAACATTTAATTATAATTGATTGGGAAAAGGGTTTGCGAGGTTTGTACCCACTGGATGTCGGGGGCCTTGAACAGTCAGCTGATAACTGTTAACCTCAAAGCTGGAAGAAGCTGTGAGTAAGGCCCTGGGTGTGCGAGGCTGACCGTGATGTGCTCTGCAGATGGGAAGATCCGGTTGGCGACACTGGAGCTGAGCTGCCTGCTCTTAAAGCAGCAAGTTGTGACTGCCACAGGCTGCATCATCAAGGACGTGCACCTGGCCTGTCTGGAGGTGAGGGCCCTCCCCACTCCCAGTGCCTAGGGCCGCTGCCGTCTGGGAGAGTGAGAGGGATCCCTGGTCTGTGGTGTCCACAGCATCAGCAAGAAGCTGGGCCCAATAGCCCTGATGCCCACTGCAACCTGCTTGTTCCCATAGAACTTCCCTTCTGCTGCAACTGGCTTGATGATCCCTCTTACTTAGTGTATTTTAGTGGTTTCTATTATGATTTTTTGGCTCCTATTTGTCTACATGATTTAATCATTCTTTTTGTATTATAAAAGTTTTATACATATTTATTTATAGTTTATTGTACTAATATCTACATTTATTGTTTTAAATAGCTCATCTTGTTTTCCCCCTTATTTTCCATGTTTATTTTAGAAAATTTAGAAAATACAGTTGTTGAAAATAGCAACTATAGTTGACACTTCGGTGTGTGTTTTCTAAATATACACAGATATTCACTCACACTTTTTTTTATAAAAAGTGTCCCCATGACCATATTTTATAACCCATTCTCCCCCATTTAATTATAACAGCTTTCTGTGTCATATTCAATCACTTATCCTGTGCTCACTTTTTATTTTGAGCTCTCTCCTTCTGTTTCTCCTTTCCCATTAAAAACTGCTTTAGATTAAGGATATTATCCCAGCATCTGTCTTACATATACTCAGATTTTAGAATCAGGAATTTACCCAGTTCACTGGCTTCCATGAGACCTGTCTCCCTCACATCTTCCCCCTCTTTTAACAGGGCGCAAGGGAAGAAAGCGTTCACCTAGTACGGCACTTTTATAAGGTAAGTTGGCAGAACACAGGGGAAGAGCAGTGCGGTGCGTGGTGTGTAAGCAGGATTGTAGAGTCTGGCCCCGTACACTTAAAGGTCACATGTCTTCAGTTATTTCTCTACCTGCATAAAAATGCTCAATTTTGTAATCTCCAGAGCAGTGGTCTCTCAATTTTTTTGCCCAAGCCCCTTTATCAGTACAATTTTTGATGACTCACCCTTACTATGAGCAAATTGTCTGTCAATTTGATATGAATTTGTTAATGGGTGAATTCATATGTAAATTATGAATTGTATACATACATGCACACGTGAATAAATTATACATATAAACATATGTTTGTGAATTTTATATGCGTATACATATAAAATTACTTTTGAATTACATATGAATTTATGAATTATATATGCATATATTATTATATAAGTGTATGCTAAGAAAACTCATACAGGCTTCCAAACATTTGTAATTAGGGAGATTTTGTCGAGAACCACCATGACTTTTCAATATCTGAAAAATTTGTAGATTTGTCTTTAGGTTCTAAATAATTAGTTTTAAAATATCTCATTGTGACAGTTTTGTTTAGCTCTTATCTTAAGGCATAATACATTCTTTGGCAAGGCTCATCATTTGTCAGCAATAGTGGATTAATCCTTATGTCCAGCCACCCAGATTTCTGATTTTTTGACCTCTACATCAGATCTCTCCAGATCCAGTTAGTGATGGTTTCCCCTAGTAATTTAACTGATGAAGAGATCCTCTTAGGAGGCACTGCCATTTTCTTGTTTACCTGTATTTCATTGTTTTGTATTCTCTCTAAACTGCTGTGAATTCTATGCATATATGCAAAGAGTCGTCATCTTCGCAGGACCCTCTTTAAGCCAGTGTCCATTATTGTCAGTGTTCACTGAGAGAAAATCAGGTCATGTATCCTGGAAATCCATCTTGCCAGGGTCAGATGGCCCCATGCAGCTATGACACAGGGGACATGCCCAGACGAGGGTGGCACCACTGTGGGCCCCCACGCACTGGGGAGGAAATCCCAGTCTCTTCTTAGACAATCCCAAACCACACATGGCCTCTTAGTGAGGATGCATGTCCTCTAGCAAGGCCTGGAAGAAGGTAGGTACCTCATGATTGCATTAGTCATCTTTGAATCTCCAGTGTAACTGTTTCAGTGTATTTCCCCCTAGAAGCTTTTAGATTGCAAAAACAGAAAGCCAGTAATAGGCATTTTCCCAAATGGTTTTTCTTTATCATTAACGAAAGGAGAGCTATACGGCAGGTCGTCAAATTACATACTGCTCGATGTCACTTCATTGTAATGCTGAGGGAAAAACATCTGTTCTTAGCCAGTGCCCCTGTCTGTGTGGAGTTTGCATAGATTTTCTCTGGGGACTCCAGTTTTCTCCCACATCCCAAAGATGTGCATGTGGGGTAAATTGGTATGTCCGCATTATTTCAGTCTGAGTGTGGATGTGTGTGAGTAGCCCTGTGATGGAAGGGCGTCCTGTCCAGGGTGAGGTCCCACTTTGTGCCCTGAGTTGCCAGGACAGCTCCAGCCACCTCTGACCCTGAGCTAGAATAAGCAGGCTAGAAAAGAATGATCTGACTTAGTGTTATTGATGCTTTTTAAATGTTCAATATTAGAAGGGTTTTGGATTTTTAATTTAGAAGTTTGGTGATGTTTTTGTGGCCAGAAATATGCTATTGGAACTTAACTCTTGTTCATATCAATTGGTCCGTAGTAAAATGGATTTCATTTTATGTCATCTCACTGAGAGTCACAGTTGCCTAGAACCTATTGATGACGTTAAGTGAGGACTTGCTATACTTGCATTGTAGCTCCCTTCCCCCCCAACCCATCTTTCTCTCTCTTTTAGCATATAAGGTTTACACCTAAGTGTAATATTTCAGAAGCTTTTGGGTTTTCAGGGGTTCTTATTTCTGTGGTTATTGCCTTATACTTACATTACACAAGAATATTCAAATTTATCTTTAGACCTGATAACTGGAAAAATATATAAAGGACCTATCACTTTTCCCAAACTGATTGTGTGCATGTGTGTATGTGAGAGAGAGACTTCAGGACTTAGGAAACAGGACAGTTCTAATAGTCACCATGCATTTAGCTGAATCTCCCTTCCCCTCCCTAGCTATCATCCCATCCAATAGTGATTGTAATGATCTTAAGCGCTAACACTTACCAGCCCTGATCAAGTTGCAGGCTCTTTGTTCAGCGTTTTATCTGCGTTAACTCATTTCATCTTCACAAAGACCCGCACAGACATGGGCTATCATCCCAGTCTTGCAGCAAAACAAAGAGAGGCTTCAAGAGGTAAAGCCAGGATTTTGGCCCCTGGTTTATATGTCTTGGAGCCAAATTACCCACCACCCTGTTCTGAGAGGGACCTCCTGGACAGCCCTCAGGGCTGCAGGAACTACAAAACCTCAAAAACGAATGGAACAAGCCTGTAGTTTCAGTGTTAAGCATGTTTAATTATACTCTTCCTTTCAGAGGTGTGGAGCCTCATAGTTTTAAAATGGCAAGTTAACCTGGATCCTCCATTCGTCAACCATTCGCAACAAAGAGAGGATGTTAAACACTTGAAATGTTAATCATTTTAATATTTTAATTATCTATGGTGTTATTTTTGGTTTGTGTTTTTTTAACTAACTGCCTTGGCAGAATAAATCTAGCTATATAATACTTTAAAAAGGGAGAACGTTGAGATGTGCAATTTGATATCTGGGCTTTCATTTGAGCGTGTGTGTTCATGTTCACGTGTGTATTTTGCTTCCTGGTGATTTACGAGAACTCAGTAATGAGAAACAGATGGACCCAGAAGCCGTGAACTAAAGTTTATAATACTTTGTTGTTTATGGGAAAAAAAATATGCATAATTCTCTCTTTCCTCCCTTCCTTTCCTTCTAGGGAGAAGAAATTTTTTTGGACATGTTTGAAGACGAGTACAGGAGCATGACAGTAAGTAAGGGGCCAGAAGGCACCTGTGTGCCTGCAAAGCTTGCCCTTCCTAAGTGAGAGCATGAGGGAGCTCTAACGTGGGCTTTCTGCCCAAATGACAGAGATTGGTGGGAAGGTAAATTGGAAATGGTGACCCCCCACCACTGGAAACTTCAGAAGACATGCACACCCCCTCAGGCTGTATCGTAAAGTGGGTGAGAAAGATTCTCTTTGATATGAATAATATTTGATTGAGGACTTATTCCACATCAGGTCTGGAAAGCCTGTTATACATGTTAAATCTCTTAATCCCCATGTCAACCCAATGGAATAGCTGCTATCGTTAGCCTCCTTTTACTGATAGGAAATGAGTCACATTGAGTGAAGTGCCCACATGTTCCCAGCCAGTGAGGGGCAGAGCAGCTTACCTTCCACCTCCTTTTTCTTCTCTGTATATTATGCCCCCTCTTTCTTTGCCGTGCCACTAGAATGTTGTGGAATGTTCCTTGAATCTGCAGCACCGGCTCAGAACCTTCCCTTTCTCCATCCAGCAGGCAGGATTGTGGGACAAGACAGGTTCAAAAGATTGCAGTTTTCTCTGTGTTGTTCCTTTGTATCTGCATCCCCAGCACCTGTCCCTTAGTTGACACTCAATAAATAGGTAATAAATGACCTTCTCATGGACATTACTCCCCAAAGAATGAAATGATTTGGGAAGTTTATAATAAACCTAAGTGTTTGAAATGTCCAAAAGAAAAAGGCAGCAGCGTGTACAAAGTGGCTTCTTGGCTTCTGGGCCCATTCGCCTGGTTTCTGGACAGCTGGGCCCTCACTATATTGCCTTGTTAAGTTAGCTTTATGTTACAGGAGGGACAAAAAATGTGATAGGATTGAAACCCACGTTCTTAAAAAAAAATAAGGCTCAAAAATAAGCTTATGATGCTTTAAGGAGTAAAATGAATTCGGTAGGAAACCTGCTTTTGTGAAATGTCATTCCTTTATGATGCCAGGTGTGAATGAAGTGTCATTGTCTGATGTGTACACATTAAATGGTCAGTACTAATGCAGAAGAGTTCCAGGAGAAGGAGGGATGATGTTACAGGTGTCTTAGGAATCAGAGAAGGCCTTGTGGGGATGGTGTGGGAGGAGGAGACAGCTTTGCCCCCGTCAGACCCAGTGGCTATGGACATCTGCCCTTCCTCAGTATCCCCCACGATAATATATGACAGGACCAGCATCTGCCGTTTAGTAGGAGGTGAGCCCTGTGGTGCCTGGCACTTAGTAGAGGCTCAGTAAGTGGCTTTGTTATGTTATCCTCAGGTAAGATGCTGAAGGGGCAAGGAAAGAAGGGGGAATGTTGGTCGCATGGTGGCAGGCATAGGAGGTCTGTGAGCCTGGGTCTGTGTCTTGGTTCTGTCACCATCCAGCTGAGCGGGCCTGGATCCATTCCTCAGCTTCTCTGAGTCTCTTATTTCTCATTAGAAGATTGGGAAACATTCCCTCTGCCTTTGTTGGGAGGATTAAACAGAATCATACATGAAAGCTTTTAGCTCACCGCCTGCCCTGTAGTTAGCTCTATTCAAATGGAAGCTGCTATCACTGACTGTTTCACCATAATTGGAAATACAATAGAAAGAGAAAGAGGCGAGCAGCAGCCAGGCACACGCATATGGGGCAGAGCATCCTAAAGGGACCACTGTAATGGGACCAGTCTCCTCCCTAAGGGACCCCTCTCCCTGCTGAGTGGAGGGGAATGAGGATGAGAAAGCAAAGCTTTTCATAGCCAGGAGGCTGCTTTTCCAATGAAGGGAAAATTTGCACCTTAGAAAACAAAAACGGCACATCCCTCACACATCCGGCTGCCTCAAGGCTTCACCTCAGTCTTAATCCAGCATTCATGTGCTCATTTACCATGTGCAGGTGAAGGTTGAGAAGCCTGTGTAATCAGCCCTGTCCCCTCCTCCCTTCAGTGAAGTCTCCGGTAATGTCTCTCTTCTAGATGAAGCCAATGAACGTGGAATACCTCATGATGGATGCCTCCATCCTGCTGCCCCCCACGGGCACACCACTGACAGGCATTGACTTTGTGAAGCGGCTGCCATGTGGTGACGTGGAGAAGACCCGGCGGGTGAGTGAGTCCTGGACCTGGCCTCCTGGGCAGCTGCCTCCCAGGGCCACTCACAGAGCAGGGAGGAAAGGGTCTCTGATCAGGTCAAGGGTCCGGAGTTCAGATAGCAGGGAGACAGACAACACCTCCAACACCCTGCCAAGAGGAGTAACTTCCCAAAGCATGCTGCCCTCTGCTGAAGCAGAGATTGAAATCCCATTGTGTCTGGCGCCGGATGTGGGCTGCAGGCAGGCTGCCTGTGCTGGTGCAGGCCAGCCCTGAGCTTTGGGAGAGGAAGCCAGGGGGCCAGGCTTCTGCGAAGAATGTGGGGGAGTAAGCAGAGTCAATGCAGCGTGCAGGTGAGGCGGTGCGGAATCTGAGCCCAGATAGGCTCAGGACCCCCAGAGATGGTGCGATGTTAAGGTATCTGAGTGATCTTGGGGCGAGGCACACACAAATGAAGCGGTGGTTCTTGCCAGCCTGTGGGAAAGACCTGTGTGTGAAGGGCAGATTAGTTCTCAGAACCCAGCTGGAGTGAGTGCTTCCGTTATCAGCTTTTTTTTTTTTTTCTGATGCAGTCTCACAGGGCTGTTCATGGTATTTTATCACCCTCATAAGATTACACTTTCTTTCTTAGAAAGCACCATAACCTTTTCCTAGAAAATCATTCCCTGGAGATATGAATGTTAGTGGATAAATTAGTGGAACTCATTGCACTCAGTCAGCTCTTGTTATCAGCCTGCATCTTCCTCTGACCTAATCTGAGTGTAACCAGAGCAGCTGAGGTGTGTAATTTCTGGATTATAAGAAGCAGGAGGGACCTGCTGGATCTGCCTCAGACTAGAGGATTCTGTGGCCTTCTTCCACCCAGCTGGCTATTTTGCCACAGAGGCCTGGTGGGGCAGAGGAAGTGGGACCCATGTGCCTTAAGTCAGTCCACGTTCCTTGCTGTCTGACCAAACCCACAGGCCTCACCACAGGACACACCCTGGCCGAGCCAATGACACCTTCCTTCCTCGTGCTCCCAGCCAGTGCTGCAGGCCCTGCGGCAGGCACACGATTGTGTTTGTGGATAGTGGTGTTTGCACTGGGCGTTCTTGGCACCGGTTTTACAAAAGGACTGGTTCTGACAACTGAGTCATATTAACGACTCCTTCATGATGCAGGACTCACCCTTAGCCTTGCGTTGGCCTAAGAGAGGCTCCCCAGCAAGGTTACAGTGAAGCTGCCCACCTGAATGGGGTGCAGTGTCCCCAAGCCAGAGAGGACCCTGTCCCCAAGGTCCTCCTTGTCCCTTGAGCCAGAAGGTCCTGCAGGCTGTGAACGCAGAGAGCCATTGCTCTGAGTTGTATCCTGCCTCCTTTCTGTGTCATGATCCATTGGGCTTTGTTAACACTTATATGAGCTCCCATTCTTTGTTATAAAGTGGATCATTCATAGCAGTTTATATGAATTTCCTCATGTAATTCTACAACTGGCCCAAGAGGCTGGCATTATTATTATTATTATTATTATTATTATTATTATTATTATTATTCACATCTTACAGAGGAAGAAACTGAGGCATGAAGAGGTCAAGTGATTTGCTCAAGGTCACCCAGATAATAAAATAGCAGAGCCAGGATTCAGCTCCACTGGGGTGGCCTCCACAGCGACTGTGACCTACTGCTTCCCACTGCTACTTTTATTGCATTTATTAGCCCTACTTGGAACTGGACACCGGGGGTATTAAAAACACAGCCCCAGTCTTCAAGGAATCAGAGACTAGAAGGCAAGGTGGGAAGATGAAGCATTAATCCATGTGGCCGGGCACCATTAGGAAAGGAACATGGGGTCAGGTCCCTAATCCTGCCTGGGCAGGGAGGTGGAGCAGGCCCCAGGGGGAGGTAGCGCATTCCAGCACCTCCAAGGAGGGGACTGTGGCTGAAGCCAGAGTAAGAGAGGAGTAAGGGAGGCTACGTGGGAAATGATGAGTCTGGAGGGACTGGAGGAACCAGATCTTGGGGGCCCCGGAGCCCAGTGAGGACCTTGGCCTTGTTAGTAGATTCCTGACATCATGCCCTGCTAGCTTAGGGCAGGCAGTCCTGATGCATGGGAAAGGATGGGAGAAATTCAAGCGTGAGGGATGTGGCAGAGGAAGGGTTGCTTGGGCCTTGGGCTCCCCGCTCCCTTCTAAGCCACGCTCTCTTCATCTAGAAAGCAACATGTGCCTGCCTTGCCAGAGTTACTGTGAGGACCCAGCGAAAGGCAGAAACACTGATGGCCAGTAGCAGTTCTTAATGACGGGGGCTGGCTCCTTTTTGTTGCCCCTCACATCTCATTTAGTTGTAAGTTCCCAGCTATGCGACCCACCTCCCTTGCCCCAGATGGGTTCCATAGTCCAGACTGCCACCTGAGGCACTGACAGACCCTGAGAACATCTGGGCTTCCCTGGCATCTCTTGGTCGCCCTTTGTCTGTGGGACAAGTTTATAAAAGCAACTCTCCTGTCCCAGGGTCTGTGTGTTTTGAGCCAGGGAGAAGGTGGCAGAGTGTTATTAAAATAGGTCTGGCTACCTCCAAGGAAAGTCTAAGAGAAGCTGCCCTTTGCAACTTCAGTAATCAATTTCTTTCTTTTTTTAAATCTAAGCATCGTTGGAATACAATATTATATTAGTTTCAGGTGTACAATACAGTGAAGAATCAATGTCGGAAGGGGAATTTCCACCCCTCGCTGCAGACGAGTTCCTGTTGCAAGGTAGCTGTCTGGAATCCTCCAGAAGCTTAGCTCCTCAGCCCATTTCAGACATTAGAACAGAGCAGTATGCTCTGAATTTGAGCTTAAGGAAGTGTATGGTTTAGCAAGCAATTGAGGGCTTCTGTGGTTTGTTTCAAGTTCTTTGCTTGTATCCAAAGAACATTCCATTTAATCCTTCTGGATTCAAAGGTTTTCTTTTTGTTTTTTCTACCAACTAGACTTTTCTAACTCTTAGGAAGCTGAGCCTTTCAGAAATCCCACCTTTATTTTCCTTAAGAATTTCTCAGAGAAGTTCAAACAACCTGACTAGTAAATTATTGCTAACTTGTAAAATATTCCTTCATACATTCATCAAAGAACCACTGGATTCCTATGCCAAATGCCGTGCCTGAGGGTACAGAGTGAATAGGGAAAGTGTCCCTACCTCCTGGATCTCACATGGAGTCAAGAGAGGTAAAGTTTATTAAGAAGCAAGTGAATGACGAGTTTGTTATCACACCGCAGTACAGACTCTGAAGGAAGGAGGGGTGGCACTCCTTAAGGTATAGGGCGATCAGGAGAGGCTCCTCTGCCAAGGTGGAGACCTGAGCTGAAACTGAAGAGTGAGAAAGCCAGCCATGCAAAGATTTAAAGGAGGCACTTTCCAGACGGCGGGAACAGTCACTGTAAAGTTCTCAAGATGGGACAGAGTACAGTGTGTTCAAGGAGCGGGATAACTGGAGCAGAGTAAGTGAAGGGGCAAGGAGGAGAGGAGGGTGGCAGGGCCTTGCAGGCCATGGGGAGGCATCTGGCAATAAAGTACAAAAGTCATGTTTTACCTCTTGCATTTTGAGAATTATACTATTGATTCTTTCACTTGACATACTCATTGAGCTTTTTCCAGGTGCCAGGCACTGTGCAAGGTATAAGAATAGACAATGAGCAAATAGTATAAAAAGACCAAAATAGCAAGAGTGCCACTGAGTCATGGTGGTTGAGCAGGGAAATACATGTTGAACTGAGGGTCACTGGCACCAGTGGGATCTGATGAGAGCATGCAAGCAGAACCTTGGACTTGGACTGCACCTACCCTGTGTGTAGAGGCATTTGAGAAAAGCAATTAGCCTAGAATACAGGCTCATTCGTGAGTCAGACCCAACTCTAGCTGTGGGACCTGGAGCAAGTTACTTAACCTCGCTGAGCCTCAACTTCCTTGAGTGTCCTGCCTCTCAGCTCTTGCCCAAAGTAGATGCGAGAGTGGCTCTGAGGTGGTGAGCCCAGTGTCTAATAGGAAGTAAATGCTCAGGAAATGTTAGCGGACCAGTGGTAGAGCATTCTAGCATCTTAGGTGGGAGAAAAAAATGAGTCTTGAAGGATATAGATCTACTGAAGTTTAATACTAGAGAAAAGAGAGCTAGGGAAAGGACTTTTCTGGTGAATATCAAAATCTGAATGTAAGCCACTTGCTATCTTTATGTAGCAGTCTTGGAAAACGTTGTAAAATAAATTATTTGCCTGAAGTTGTATTTGCCCCTTCATTCTGTTTCCCTGTTCTCATGTAAACACCACAAACAATTTTTGTTTATCAGTAATGACCTAGAGGAAATAGGATATTTTGCTTTACTCTTTAGATACGTATTCCGCATTAAAGAAAATACAGTAGTATCTCAAAGTTTCAAAGGAATAGGGAAAGAATTTCCCATAATTTCATCACCCTAAACAATCAACACTTAGACATTTTTTGTGTCTCCTTCGTATCTTTGCAAACACATCTTTTCAGGGTTTCAGGGAGAGTGTACCATGACCTTGCTTTTGTCCTCACACCCCTGTCCCTTTTCATTGTAGAACAAGAAGTTTGTCATGTGCTAATACTTTTATTAAAAGTCTCATTTCTTATTGGTACATAAAAGTGTATCTGGTGACTTCTGCCATAATTTACTTAGGCATTTTCCTGCTGGTAGACATTTTGGTTGCTTGCAGTATTACATTATTTTCAACTGTAATGAGCAGCTTCACAGTGTTTTCTTTCTTTTGGCTTATTTCTTTAGGATAAGTTCCCAGAAGTGGAATTTCTGGTTCAAAGGGTATGAACATTTTTGTGTGTGTGACTCTCTACGTATTGCCAGATTGCTTTCCCAATGGGCTGTGCCCACTTTAAAAACTGCTTCAGCACTCTTTTAAGAATGGCTGACTTTCACAGCCATGTCCACAGTCTTGGTGGGCTGCTAACCTTCGTGACTGTCACCTAAACTCAGTGGCTTGCAAGGGAAGCAAGGGCGAGGGCTTGAACTGAATATCTGATCCATGGCCAGCCCCCAGGGCTCCGTGTGTCACCTGCTCTATGTCATTGCATGTTCCTAGTGGCCCCGTGATCTCAGGGGTGGTGGGTCCCCACTTCCAAAGCTTGAGCCTGGGCTCGGGGAATTCATGGGACTCGCCTGATCTCAGGTTGAGTCAGCATTTACCTGGCTCTGAATCCATCCTTCCGCCCCACTAATCGGACTCATCCCCCAGGACCCCCCTTGCCGGAGTCTGCTTCCACGTGAAATGACGCGAACTGAGGAAGTCCCTTCTTTATATTTGAGCTTAGTCAGCTGTCACTCCTCTTCGATCTAATCTGTTCTTCCAGAGTCAGTCTTCCTGGCATTCTATGGAAGCATCCGAAACAACAGTAATTTTTTTTTTTTAGTAGTACTTTTTAACTCGCATGGTTATTTAACGAAGTAAAGAAAAGTGCCCAGTAAGAACCTGGGTCCTAAGCCTTAAATCTGTTGAAGGCAAAGGCCTGTGGTTGGAAGAAAGTGGACTTTGGAGTCTGGTTATTTGAGTCATCTGGAACAGGCTGCCTAACATACCTGGGCTTTAGTTTCCTGTCTGTAAAATGGGAACCAGGCAGGTACTTAAAAGGCTAGAATGGGATGACATAGTATAGCCCCCACCGATACCTGGCAGCTATGGGTAGCAGAGGGTATCGTTATTGTTTTAAGGGTGGTGAGATGAATTTGATGGCCCCTATCCTGGTTTCTTATTTCTTTTGTGGATTCTTGGGGTTGTGTCACTGGTCCAAGTGCCTGTCAGACCCTGTAGATGCCCACATGGAGCATTTGGCCCTGTGGGAATCTGCCCTCCTCACATTCATGGGCATGGACTTCTCACATACTGTTCCTTCTCTTAGGAGTTGGGGCAGGGAACCAGAAAAAGTATTGTTGGGCCTTCTGGTTTATGTTTTATATTCTGCTTTGAATTTATTATCATTAATATTATCATTATTATTTTGTATCCCTGGAGATATCTTCAGTTTGTTGCTTTAAGAGCAAAAGCAGATGTTTTACCAAAACGGTCTACAGTAGGAGTCAAATTTTGAACTCCTCTTATATTGGAAGGTTTCTGCTTTTCAGAATGATAGATAGGCTGGCTGTAAGCTGCACACGTTTCTCTTTCTTCATCCCCCATCTAGGGTCATGCTTGCTTCCTCTGCCTTTAGAGAGGGATGGGTTTTTGACAGTGAAATGAAGCATCCACTCAACTTGGACCTGACTGTGATGGGCCTTTTTCCTTCTTTGTTTTCCTCATCTCTAAGGTCATGACTCCCTGTTTTCTCAAACTGCCATGTATTTCAGGTACCTACCCACATCTTGGGCTTTCTGCAGTTGGGCTAGAGTGGGCATTTGAATTTCCTTGTGTGCTTGGTTAAGTGACACAAGTGTGAGACGTTCCTGGGTTCCAACTCCAGCTTAGCCGCTCAGCAGCTGCATGAACTTAAATTTCCCTGCCCCTCAGCTCTGTTTCTTCCTGCGTAAAATCTTTACATTGCAATGAAGTGCCCACATTGCCTGGTACACAATAGGAACTTCATGAATAAAAGCTGTTTTGATTTTTTAAAAACGAAAGTATACCTGTTCTTCTGACTGTTGCAGATGTCTTTACAGAGACTATACTTCAAAAAACGAAGATCAGACCAGTACTGATGCCACCACCGCTTCCACCATCATCATTATGATGTGGAAGCTTATCTTTCCCCAGGGCTTATGGTTGACAGAAGGGAATCAGGACCCGGAGTAGGTCCGGGAAGTAGGATTGTCCCTCTAGTATTCTACACTAGATTAAGTGATTGGCCCAAGGTCTCCAGCTGGTTCTGGGCCAAGGAAGGATTAGGGTTAGGCCTGCTGACAGGCACGTTTGCTGCCTGGGTCACCAGGAGCCCTTGTTTTGGGAGGCACCTTGTCATGTAAGGGGCAGCCTCTTCTCTCAGTTGGGCAGGCCTGAAGCCCTCAGAACTGTAAACAAAAAGACACAAAAATGGTCTGGAATTCATCTTTGTGTGGCTTGCCAGTGGCGACAGTGGTTTGTCCCCACGCCCACCCCCGTGCCCAGCTGGAGTGACTGGAGCAAAGGATAGCTGCCCCTTTACCGGACACATGCTGGCTGCCCTCCCCTCCCCCGTGGCTGTCTCCCAGGACCTCATTAGCAGCCTGGCGAGGTAACGACTACCATCCCCATTTCACAGGTGAGGACATCAAAGCTCTTGGAGGTCAGAGGCCTTACCTAGTGTGGCGGAGCTGGGAGTCCAGTGCCAATTATTTATGTCTGACTCCAGAGCTGTTTCCTCATGGCCGTCAGCTGAAGTCAGGGACAGAGGTCTGGAGGAGCCCTCTCCTGTGGGCTGCCCCTCTGCTTCCTGGCCTCTGGTTGGAGGGCAAGTCAGCCCCATCCTAGGGCTCAAGGGCAGGGTGCCACCAGGGTAAGCTGGCCCAGGCTGAAGGCTGCTTTCTGCACAAACTTCTCTGGCTGCCAGGGCATGGGATTCTGTTGTTTTTCTGCTCTCTGGAAATACCTCATGGCCGCACTGGGTTCTGCCAGACACCTCTTCCACGGGCCAGGAATCCCAGTGCTCAGGGAGCTACCTCTGCCCCCAGAGAGGGGGCCGGAGGGGCACTCAGGGCACTGACATCACTGCACGCCTGCAAGGTGCCAGGTCTGCCGCTCCGTCGGTGACACAGCCCTGGTGGAAGGCCGAGGGACCGAGGCTCTGAGGTGAAGGGGCTCGTCCAGGGAGCTGCAGGGCAGGCTTTTAATTGGGTCTGGCTGGCTCCAAGCCCCACAAGCATCCCCCTCTTCTGTCCCTGCCCCACCCTTCGGTTCATGAGGTGGGACCTTGAAACACTTTCACTCATGATTTGGATTTCCAACTTTTGGGCCGGTTTGGTGGGAAGAGGACTGGTTCTGGCCCTCCCTGGATGTGTACGTGAGGCAGGTCATGTCACCTCCTCGGGTGTCAGTGCCTTGTCTGCCAAGTAGGGTGCTTGCTGAGCTGGGGTGTCATCAAGGTCACATGACACTAGGGGAGCTGTCCTGGCAAATGACAGGTGCTCAGTTGAGGTAAAGAGTTTCAAGCTTGAACCTGTGTATAACTGAAAAGAGACTGTGCCTTTTATGGGTTGTTGTTTTTTTCCCCTGTCTTGCTCTTAAAGCACCAGAGCCGTGATACAGGGAAAGGGAGAGAGGTGGGCTTTGCTTGTTTTTAATCAAGTGTCATGGTGTGATTTCTCCATGTGGAACATCTCACCAAAACAACTGTAGTCTCACCCTTCTCTGCTCTCTGCTGTTCATTCAGGCCATCCGGGTGTTCTTCATGCTCCGTTCCCTGTCACTGCAGCTGCGAGGGGAGCCCGAGACCCAGTTGCCACTGACACGGGAGGAAGACCTGATCAAAACCGATGACGTCCTAGATCTCAGTGAGTTGCCCTAAGACATGGCAGGGGGACATGGTCATGCTGACTCACATGTCACTGGAAGCGTCAGTGTATGGTCTGCCTTTTTGTACTGGGGTTGATTCATGACGTTGAACTTAGAGAGCGTGCGTGTCCCATAAAACTTTCAATGAAAGGGACCTATGTTTTGAGCCTGCAGGTTCTGTTCTCTGGAGACCAGGTAGAGCTGTGCAGGTGATTTGCTAAAAGGTCTGTGTAGGGACTTTGGGGATTCCCAAACTCCAGGGTCCCTGTCCTTCACACAATCATAGCAGCGTCAGTGTCATTGGTTTTGTCTATTAAGGGTTTTCTGTATGATTTCAACAATTAAAGTGTTCTACTGCCTTAAAAAAAAAGAAAAGAAATCTTCCAAAAACACAAGTCGCCAGTACTTAGGTAGAGATTCAAGCTTTGGAGACCAGAGAACTTGGTGCTCAGCCTAAAACCTTGGGCTATTTAACCATACAGTGCCTCAGGCTCAGATTGAAAGGAGACAACAGGTGTAAAGCCTATAGTCATTTCCCACCAGGAAGCTACCACTCTCCGTCCCAGCTCTGCTTTCCTCTATTCTGGCCTCATCCTCAGGAGGGCTCTCGCCAGGTAGTGACAGTGGCCATCAGCAGCTCCAACATCTGCTGAACCAGCTCAACAGTCCTGACAGAAACAGAGCTTGTCTTTACGTTTTACGGAAGTCCAGGGCAGTGCTTTCCTTGTCCCAGCTGGGATCATATGACCATCCCTGAATCAGTCAGTGATCAGAGGAATGTGATTCATTCACCAGTTCGCTAGGCTGGGGTCACATGCCCACAGCTGGAAGTGGGGCCTCTTCCTTTTGAGCCCCATCACTTGAGAGTGAGGAGAGAGGAGGCCCTCATAGGAAACTCATAAAGAAGAAACGGAAGCTGGGCAGGTGGGATCAGCAAACAGCCACTCTTGGTTGTGTATGGTGAGGAGCATACACAACAAAGAAATTGTACTTCAGCTTTATGAAGTATAATTTATATCCGGTAAAAGTCACCAAGTTTAGTGTATGATCAAATGAGTTTTGACAAAACAATTCAGTTGTGAATGATTGTATCACATTAGAGATTGTGATACAGAAAGAACACTGAGGACTGGCTTTCAAGCCAAATACCCTGCCCTGCCCGGTACTCCCTTGAGCAAGTGACTGGAATTCTCACAGTGTCCATCTTCTCACCTAGAAAATGGGGAAGACCTTCCTTATATCCAGGCTAGTTTTGACACTTGAGTGAAATATAATGTGAAATACAACTTGACCAAGCATAATGCCTGGCATATAACTATTCTCAGGAAATTGTAGTCAGTATTTCCCACTAATTGAGTGAGGTGATACATACAAAAAGCAGAGCACACTGCCTGACACATAAAAGGTTCTCAGGAAATTATTATTATGAGTCTACCTAGTAGTCTAGCTCCTTTTTCTGCCTTTTTAGTCCTTTTTCTTGTTTATGTTCTTTTTTCCTTTTTCTTGGAAGAGTAAAGAAGCTATGTCCTCTCTGTGTTCTATGCCCGTCTCCTTCGGCCCTTTCTCTCTTGAGAAATGGCCACAGAGGGGTTCTTTAAGGGTTTAAATTGATCAGTTTGCTAGGGAGAACAATAAACAAGTCTTTCTCTGATTTGATTCAAGGAAAGAGAGGGAAACAGCTTGCTTTAAAGAGGGCTAGTCTATTCTATTTGAAAATGGAATTAAATTTGATGCTGGGAACTCACATTTCCTCCCTCCCCCACCAAGAATGGCCTGCTGAAATAAAGGTTAAAAGTGTTTCACTTATCAATTTTAATTTATTAGATTGGTAGTTGAGATCACTTAACTGAGCTTTTTTTGGGTAGTTGGCCATTAAGAAAGTAATGGCTGTCTGTCTTTACCCAGCCTGATTGCAAATTATGTCTTTGCTGAAGAGGATGCCATCCAAATAATTCTAGGAATTATGGATTTCACAAGTACATGGTACTAGAATAAGACCTGCATGTGTTGTTGTGTTGTTGACCTTTTTTTTTTTTTCCTGATTTTAAAAAATTTTATCATTTTTTAAAACCCAAGGATATGTGTTTTTTTTTTTAATTGACTTTAGAGAAAGAGGAAGGGGACTAAAGAGAAAGAGAGAAACATCTGTGTGAGAGAGAAATATCGATCAGTGGCCTCCCACATGCACCCCAGTCAGGGATCAAACCCACAACCTCGGTGTGTACCCTGACCGAGGATCGAACCCACAAATTTTTGGTGCCAAGGATGACACGCCAAACAAACTGAACCGCCTGTCCAGGATATGGTGATTGTTTTTAAATGCTGGAACTTCCCACCTTCCATTGGGGAAAAATTAGCATGCTTCGCATTTTACAAAATGCCCTCTTGTATATACAGAATGAAGGAAACATAATGTAAGTGAAGGCATTTGTATTTGTTGAATGATTGGAAGCTGGGCACACTTCATATGAATTTAGTTGTTTTGTCTCCCTAACAAAAGAAAAAAGGAAGCTGACTCAGGGAGAAATGTTTGAAGTTCATCAACTTTTATCTAAGGTGATACGGTCTGATACCCGTAAAGAATGCCAGTTCTGCACAGCAGGAAGAAGTGACTTAGAGTGTATTTACTAAGTTTGTCACACTTTGATGAGAAACCATAGCGTAAGATTACTCAGAAACCGTCTCACATGTCTGCTGACCAGCAGTAGGCCTTTAGGCCAGGTATGGCAGGTGAGCTCTGGTGGGATGGATTCTGACAAGGATCATTAAAAATGCCATCAACCTATTGACACTGGAAAAGTTGACGTTCGTGCTGCCTGTCACTACCAGAACCAATCAGTAGAGACAAGGATTGAATCTTTATGGGCAATTTATTCAGATGCGGGCAATCTAAGAAGACAGCAGGTTATGTACCCTCAAAACCATCATAACATCTCCTCTCAAGCCAACCTTTTTATAAGGAGAAAAGGGTAGGTAAGGGGTTCAGGGGTGGGGTGGAGGGAGGTTAATCAGATAAGAGTTGCGATTTCCCTAGTATTTATCTGCTGATCAACAATTCTTTATCTCAGATACCACCTCCTGGATTGCTTGCAGAACCCCTGGAGCTCAAAGGTTGAACTGTTTGTTGACCTCCTGGAGTCACTATTCCAAGTTCTTAGAATAATAGCTTTCCATATACATTAATCACTTAAGCCTATCAACTATTACTACAGCTAAAATCTTTAACTCTTGAGTTCCCTATCACTGTCATCACCCCTCCTGAAGGAAGCAGGGTATGCTTAAAGCATGTTTTGTTTTCACTGGAGTGGAGAATGGCAGGGGCAGAGATTTCAAACAAGCAGCTGTGAAGAAAAGGAGGGAGGAAGAGAAGGAGAGAGGGAGGGAGGGAGGGAAGAAAAGGGGAAGGGAAGATAGACTAGACTAGATAAAGTAGATTAGATATTTTAGAGAGAACAACATGAATCTCCACGTTACCAGTCTTCAGCTTTAGCTTCAACAGTTTTGCTAAGTCTCATTTTATCTGCCCCACCATTTCTATTTTTTAAATATGCCTACCCCATGCAGTGTATTAAAGTGAATGGAAGATATCATATCGTTGCATCTATAAATAATTCAAACAGATAAAGACTTTCACTCATATGTGTAATTGAATTGTTTGCCACCGTTGCAAATCGTGAGCTTCTCTAACCCCTCTGCTGCTCTGGGTAGAGCCAGGGCAAGGGGGATGGCAGCTCCCAGATATGGGGCCTGTGTTGTCCTGTTTTCTGCCACCTGGCCCCATTGACATTTGATTTTGCAGTCTCTGGTATAGTTGGAGGTAATCAGCTTTGTGACCTTGCTCAGGTTCTTAATGCTTGTGCGGCCCTGGTTTGCACTACCATCGTCTTTTTTTAAAATGGTTCTAAAAGACTTTGCAAGGACTGTTGAAGATCAGATGAGAAAATGCATGTGAAGCACACAGCACTGTGCTTGGCACATAGTAGGTGCTCAGTGTACAAGAGTTGGCTGTCGTCCTTGTTGCAGCTGCTGAATAATGAGATATAACTCATACTGTGGGGCGCCAAGAAGTGGGCCTTTTCTGCATTAACAAGGTTTTAAGGAATGTATTCTGAAATATTTAAACCCATGCATCACTTGTACCGTGGCCCTGTTGGTGGGGGCGGGGGGTAAGAAAGACCAGTCTGGCTGCTTGGGCTGAGTTGAAGGGAGCTGGAGCCCCGATCAGGCCGGGCACACCTGCACATTCACCAGGTGGCCCACTGACCAGCAGCCCCTGGAAGTGTTCTGAAGACAAGCAGGCTTCAAGGAGAAGCCAGGTTCCTGCCTGGATTGGCATTGGAGCCTTCTGAAAGGAGTTCTGCCTTTCACGTGGGCACTCGACCTTTATATATTTGTAGTCATACCATGTGCTGCACACACCTAATCCTGTATTCTGATTTTTTAAATCCATTTATGAAATCCCTTCAGTGAAATCCATCCATTTGTCCAACTACTTACTGAGTACCTGCTGTATGCCAGGCACAGTGCTGGGAGCTGGGATGTAATAGTGAGCTAAAGCTAGGCTTGGTCTCTGCTCTTACGATGCATCTAGTTTGGTGGCAGGAGAAGGTAAGTAAGTAAATGTGCAGTCACTGAGATGGCTGTGGAGGTAATGAACAGGTCCTGTGCTAGAGAATAACTGGGCGAAAAGACCGTGTGGGCTGATTGGGGAAGGCCTCCCCGGAGGGGTGCTGTGCAAGGAGGGGCCAGAAGATTCTATGAGAAAATACAAAAATGAGGCCTGCCAGTTAGCAGGGGTGGCAGAGGTGAGGCTGGAAGATGAGACAGCGTGGCATGGCTGTCAGGACCTTAAAGGAGGCTGGTGTGGCTGGCAGGTAAGGAGCAGTGGGGAGAGGGGCTTAGATGAAACGGATCTCAATTCCAGTGTAGTGGGAAGCCATCAGAGGATTCCTGCAGGGACATCTGTCCTGAAAGTGCACTTCTGTAACTGGAACTGCCA